CCTCTGTCTAGACTTGCGGAAGCCGAACGAGGCAGCTGTCATGGACGGATTTCCTTGGCCTTAGGCAGGGAACTCTGGCGTGCACTGAGTAGGGTGGCACGGTTTTCCAAACTGGACTTTGCATTTGCCTCAAAGGATAGTTGGCCAATGATGACGTTTGTCTCCCATCAAGGGTTCTTCTGGTTTCAATCTGTCGGCTTTGGACTCACATTGGCGCCTGCCGCATTTCAGCGGATGATGCAGTGTATCTTGAAGGGCTGCAACGGCGTCCCCTTTCACGTCGAAGATGTAGTTTTTGTGAAGACTAAGGAAGAATGCATTCGTCGCTTGCAGTGTGTCTTGCGATGGATTGCCAATGCGGGCCTCCAGCTGAAGCAGTTTGATGTTGAAGAGCTGTCAATTTTGGGCCACCCTGTGAGTGCAAGGGACACCAGTCGAGTTATACTGGAGGCAATCCTTGGGTGCTCAGGTGCCAACCGACTTGGTCAGACTCAGTTCATTCCTCAGACTAATGGGCTAACCTCTTCAGCTTCCCTTTAATCTGTCTTTGTTACTTTACTTCAAGCAACATACCCTGTGGTTTATTTTGCTCTTTTCAAAACAGCAAAATGTCCTCAAAATGTCGTAAACATATACCATTCGACAGAAGTCTGCCTGGTTGGATTAAAATTGTGATAGAAGAAGTCACCATTAAAGTCATTACGAACAGTGAAGGAAAAGGTAAAAAGGCTCGAGGTACACCTAAGCACTCTTTATAAGTTCTGAATGCGAAAGCATGTACATCATACTCCCTCTCCGGCGAATGGGAGCCTGATCGACGCGCGCCAGCCAATGGGGCTGAAATGCAAAAGGTGCCGTTGGCTATTTGCACGTGGTTTCATAGCTGGGAGCTGGCGAGAAGGATTTAAGAGCCGTTTGGCGCGGTTTCGAAGCCGATGACGTCGACTCGCTCCATCAGACAGGTAATGCTTTCGAAATTGCTGTGGTTCAGTGGTCACACCTCCTCTCGGAAGAAGCTGATCCTTAACAGTCGTCCCTAGAGAAGAAACCAAGTTGGTTTTGAAATGTTGGACCCCTTCTCATTTAGGGATTGGTTGCTGGTAACTTCTTTTATTGTGACAAGATGTTTGTATCAGCAAAATAAGTAAGTAGAAAGCCGCCAAACTTTCCTGTCGAAACAAATGCTGCAGAACCATTAGCGACTCGAAAAAGAAACTGGTATCGAAGACACCTAGCGATAGCAAACTATTGGCATGCTTTGGTTCTTGGCTAACTTGTATAGTGCATCTCATAGAAATAAAAAGTTGGCAGTTACCTTTATCTTCCACGCTCTAGAAGGCATGAAATGTAGTATTTAAGGACCAGTGCCATCGGTTCAATTTGTTTAACCGGGGTGTCTAGCGACCGGGAAAACCTGAAATTGTCGGGGAAATTTTAATTCCCGGGAAAAATCAGGGAATTGTCAGGGATATTGTCAAAAAACGAGCCCAGTCAGGGAAAATGAGCCGGAAACGCCATCGAGTGTCCTGAGCAAGGACTTGTGGATCTGGGGCTGCCTAGAGCGGAGCACGAGCTCTGCTCACCCGATGTGGAGTGTGCTACCCGATGCAAAGGGAACAACCGACAAATCCAGTCCACACCTCAGATTGGATTGGATTGAAAGCGCGACACTAGGCTAGATTGAGTTAGAGCTACTAAGTTTGGTTACAAATGGTAAAGTCGTAGACCCCATTCCAATCCAAGCCGAAAGTATCCAAAAGTGCATCTCGCAGCCATGTTGCCATTCGGCTATACGTGTGTGGTTGAGCATCGTGTTTTCATGGTGTTTCCAGAAGTGGCCTGTTCATTGACGATGTCGGTGACAAGAAAGTGCTCGTGTAATCCGGACTGGGCACACTGGAATATTTCAGGATATGGAAGTTAGATTAAGCCCATGCAAAATTATCCTCACTGTGCTCAATACCTTGTGTTGCAATGGTCTTATGTATTTAACCCCGGCACACCCCCTGCTGTTTCGAGTTTTAAATTTATTCCCTGCCACTTTCAACTAAACTCAGGCTGACGAAATTTTTTTTTTTGCTGGAATTTATGGACGAATCAATATGCCATAATTTTTAGTTGTGGTTTCACCTTTTGAAGCCAGGTGGAGAGTTTTGTGGAGGCAACTTTCTCCGTATGCGTTTCTGAGTCAACATTGTTTTTGAATGGCGAACCCATGTGCTTCAACTTGGCGCTCCTCGACGGATGATCTAGTCGAGGAACTGCTACTGAATTCAGAATCTGATAACAGTGAAACTGAGTGTGCTCGGTGTAGGGATGAAAGTGATGACGAGTCAACACCACCAAAACGGCACTATAAAAAAAAAAAAAAAAAAAAAAATAGAACTCTATGATTTGTTTTAACTGGACTCCTCCAGGTGACTTTGGTCTCAACGTTTACTTCAATTCAGAAGTTAAATACAGTCGAACCCGGATATATCGAATTCAAAGGGGTTTGTAAGATAGTTCGATATATCGATAATTTGATATACAAAAATATGTTAAATTAAGCTCAACTTGAACTTTCCGCGCGTCTCTGCTAGTATTGAAGGCGGCGACAAACGGGACCTTACCAAATACAGCCTCTAAGAGCCGCTAAATACTGTAGAGCTTAGTTGGTGAAGATCACAAACACCGCCGCGTTTACGGGACAATGTTTGCGATCGTTTACGCGCGCGCGATTTTCGCACAGCACCGGCGACAAAACACGAATTAAAAAAAATGAAAAAACGGAAAAAGCGAGCTGCATAAAAACAAACAAAAAACGTTTAATCCATAAAATAAAGTTAAGCAACAAAAAAACCTCACTAAATTCAAGCAGCAAAAGAATAAAAGCAAAAAAAAAAAAAAAGAAACGCGCAAAGCAAAAACGGCAAACGAAAAGGGTAAACAAGGATAGGGCGTTCAAAGTGCGATTGCTCAACCGTTGTTTGTCGACACACTCAACTTGACAAAGACTTTTTTTTTTTGCTTTTATTTTGGGGCTAAGGAGCACTCCCTGCCTTCCCTCGCGTGTGTGCCTTTTCCTTTGCTTTTGCCATCCTCCACTTTTTTTTACAATTGCTTTTTGTTGAGTATTTCCCTGGGCGTAGGCTGGCTCTGCGGACAGCCCGGCAACGCGAGCTATGTGCTCCGTGGGCGCAATCTGACTGGGGGAGAAGCGAAAGGCCGCCATGCTTAGTTCTGCTTAGTTCGGTATATCAAGTGTCCCCGCCATGGGAGCCCATGGGAGTTCGATACAAAAAGACAACGCTCCTATACTATTACATGTGATTTTCAAGGGGATGTTTGGACCGTTCGATATAAGCAATAATTAGAAATACCCGGGTGTGATATAACCGGGCTCGACTCTAACTCTAAACGTAAAGCAACATAATCTGGTAATAAACGGACATCTCGAAACATAAAACTGCATTTCTGCAGCAAAAAAAAAAAAATAATATTTTCGTGCAGCGTAAAAAAACTTGGCACAGGGTGCAAGCTAGGGTGACCACCCGTCCCGCGACTCCGAGACTGTCCCGCATTAAGGGCTCGTGTTTCGCGTCCCGCAAGCAGTATCAAAATCTTTAAAATGTTCCGCTTTTCATCACACTGTCGTAAAATTCACTACGCATCTCGTGGCGCTGCCGAAGAACGGGGCACGGTGAAGTGTGGTGGTCGTTGGTAAACGTGCGAATCGCGATGGTACACCATTTCCTATCCAAGCATTGCGGGAAGTGATCAACGTTCCTGCAGGAGAACTAATGCGCATGCACCGTTCTCTTCTTTTGGTGGCAAAATATTGGAAGAAAAAATGGCTCGCCAAATGTTGAAAATAAATTATTGTAATTATTTTAAAATCATGAAAGTGGTTAGCTGTGTTTGTATGTCGTCTTGTTTCCTCCACCCAGTCTCAGGTGGTCTAAAAAAATGGTAAACCTACACCAGCTCGCCTGCGCCCTAACTTTTTTTTCATGCTGTGTCAATGTTGTTGTGGAAAGATTTTTTTTAGTGAAAACGACTTCACAAGACAAAAAGACTGCAACTCATAAAAATCAAAAACAACAACATAGGGTTTGAAATTTGTGTAGGAGCATGTTGGTAAAAATAAGAATCGACAAGAAAGAAGAAGCCGCAAAATATTTACTGCTTCCTCTTTCCTTTTGATTAGTTGGGTTCTGCTGCAGTCGATATTATGTTTTCAACTTTGACACATTTATTAACATGTGTTGCATTAAACCTTAAAATATATCGCTGGGAGTAAAAGTTATTTGAGCCTAATTGCCGCAATACAATTTGCAGCTGTATAATATGTTTTTGGACAAGACAGGATATTAAACGTGTTGGCAGAGTCACATTTCGTGGTGTGTGTTGATAACTTTCCTCAATTGTGTTTTTTTCGTGATGCTTTTTAACTTGAAACTGAAGAGCAGGGAAAAAAATGTTTGTCCTTCTGCCCCAGTCTTAGGTTAAAAAGCATCAATGGTTAACTTACACAAGCTCGGCTGTGCACTAAGTTTTTTTTTTTTGCAGTTGACGCAGTTGAAATATAATACTGTTCTTTTCTTATACACCCTCCCCCCCCATGGGTCAGCGTGTCCCGCATTTCGCTAGCAGGAAGGTGGTCACCCTAATGCATGCGGGACAAAAAAAAAATAACCCAGCAATTAAAGGGTTAAAAAGACACGAAGCAGTTGTTTCGAGGAGTGAAGAAGAACCTATAGCTTTTCTGTAATTTTCTCCCTAAATATAGCAGGGGAACAAACTTGGTACGTAGGTCACGTGATGTCTTTTTTTGGCTAAATTTAGCGGGGAAACCGAAGTGGTCTTTATGTCAGGTGACATCAATTTCCCCGCTAAATTTAGTGGAAAATGTACCGGTGGACGGAGTGACAAACTTTTGGGATTGGGGGTTGAGTGGATTGATAGGTACTTAGCAGATGGGGCGTGAACGGATGGGGGGGCGTTCTCTTTTGCTTCAGCTGAAAAAGGAATTTGGCTCGGCGGCCCTCCCGCCCTTCCCTCCCAAGAAGCTGCTGCCTCTGACTCCCTCACAGACGGAAGAGCGCCGATGCTTCCTCGAGAAGTACATCCAGCTGGGTACGTGAGCCTCCTTTCCGCCCCAAGGCTGAGGTTTGCCACCCGAGGGTCCAGCATTACAGCGCCTGCACATCCGACTCGTGTGTCCCGCCCTCGCATCAAAAGTGGTCTCGAAGCGGCAACGAGTGACGTCGCAGAGGTCCCGCTGTCAGACGTCCCGACGGTAGTAGATGTACCGGCAAAAACACAGAGTGAATGTGTCTGCCCCAACTGCCTGCTGCAGTCAGGGAACGTAGCAGACGCCTGCAACAGGACGGGCGTCTGCTACGTCCGGGACGGCGCGACACTCCTACGACGACGTCGGGCGGGAGGAAGCACTTTTGAGGACGGGTGGGAGACGCATTGTGGGTGCCAGAGGTCCTCTTCTTTCTCCACGGGCTGTATCGGGTCGGCGGGGAAGCTGCCAAACGGCGTTGTCTTTCATTTGCGGACGAGGTATTTGGACACGGGGTTAAACCGCCGTACATCGTCCGTTGTTTGAGGAAGACTGCGCCGGTTCCATCCCAGTTGCCAGTCGAGTTTGTCCTAGTGGCTTTGCTATTGGACTGCCACGAGACTCGCGCGAGGAAACCTTCTATTATTCATTGGGATTACGTAGTATTTGATTTGTTTTTAATGTCTAACGCCAACACCGCTTGAAACTTTTGGGGTGCTTGTCGCAGGTTGACACTTGTGAGGCGCATTAATTAGGTCCTTACGCTCTTCGCTGGGCACCATGGAGAAGGGGCACCCTGCATAAGGGGAACACAGCGATCCCTCGAACCTTCTTTTGCTTGGGCGCAGCAAAAGGGGGCACGTACACATGTGTTACCGAAAGATGCGCTGAACGTCAATGGGACAACCTGCTCCTACTCGGTCGAACGGATAAAGACCTCGTGGCACGCGTCCGTGCAACTGGACAATTCGATACTACTATCTTGACCAGGGAGCTCGGAACATGGCCTTGGTCAGCATAATCGACTAGTACAAACCACACTCCGTGTCTGACTTGTGCAAGTGAAAAAAATTATTATTTTTAGGTATTTTTTTAGGTACATTTAACCTGTAGTTTTATTTTTATTTTTTAAATATTTTTATTTTATTTTTTATTTTGTTAGTTTATTTTATTAATGAATTTTAATTTTATATATCTGTATAAATAAATTTTCCTAATTGTTTAATTATTATTAATATATTTTATTTTTATCTATTATATTGATCCAAAACCTGCCGCTCTTGCCGCCAAGTTTGCATTCAAATAAAAATCAATGGTCCCTCCGGACCAGCTGCGCTAACAGCTCGGCGGCTACAGTATCTGACTGCCACCACACCAACCCGGGTTAGATCCCCGCCTGGGTTCGAAATTTTTTTTATTAACTTTCTATAAAATGTTATTGTCCGTAACGCTCCCGGCGTGTCGCTCGTTGGTGACGCTCGCTACGAGGCTCAATATGGCGCTCGTTCAGGACGACGTTCTCGTAGGAAATGCGCCATAAAACACATTCTGCGTTAAATGTCTCGTTGCCACGGCACTCGGGAGCATGTGCTTTCCACTCGGCGCGTCTACTGGTAACCGTACGGACGCTTACCAGTAGACGCGCCGACACCAGAGATCTCTGGCGTACGGACACCAGAGATCTCTCCGTTCCCACGCATTCATAAATCGGTTCTTGCCACGGGCGCGGAACTAGGATCGGTGGCGAAGCTGTTCTAAAACAGATTTAGACAAGCGTGTCTTCCGTAGAGAGGCGTAGAGAAGTGCAACGGGCTGCCGCTGGCCACTCGTCGAAGAGCCGTCCAGGGCGAGGGCGTGATCCGGCAACATGCGCGTTATTGTCCGCAGCGAGCCAGGACATGCGCATCTGCTCGGACGAGGTGTTCACGGGGTTCCTGCTGTCGGCCCAGCAGGAGACCCAAGGAGTGTCGCCCCAGCAGGTGGACCTCGATGTCTTCCTCATGAGCTGGCAGAAGGTGACCGTCCGCGTCTGCTCCACGGACCCCACTCGGCTCGTCACGGAGGTGAGGGCCTCTCCCGACGGGCCCTGTTTCGGAGCCCTGTCTAGGCCACCGTAGATTGACGAAACGTTCGCGCCCGCTAGTGCCACTTTCACGCAGCTTCATATCCTGGGAATTTGTTTATTTCATTAAAAACAAAAATTTTAATTCCTATTTAAAAGCTAGAGATTGTTGTGGCCAAGGGCAGTCCCCGTATCGGTAGCATAGCCACTCAGTCGAATGTTTTTGTGCAAGCACCACTCCTAAGGGGGGGCAGGCGGCACTTTGGATTCTTTTCCGACCACTGCCGTTGTCATTCAGTATGTCGTGGAGCTTGCTGGCATTCTCGACAATAGTTGACGGTGTAGAATGTGCGACCTCCCACTTGGGCGTCAGTCTTCTCGATGCGACTTGATTCGAAATAATGCGAGTGTAAGTCCATTGTCCAAAAACGGTCCGGGGGAAAGTCAGAGTTAAATGTCAAGGTGGCAGAAAGAATGAAACGGCGTTGTTGCGGTACGATGCTAGGCAACAGGCTGGGCATCCAGGGTTGTCCTCACGGTGGGCGGCAGTGCCTTTGCTGTCCTCTGCTCGATTATGCCCGAGGACGATGATGTGATTTTGCCTGTGCGCGTGGCTGCAGACGGTCGTACTCGGCAGGCCTGCACACCACCACCTTATCGCGTGTTCTTGCATGACCGACGGCCGCCACTCTCATACGAGGGCAGAGAGCGCCGCTGGCAGTGAGGGAGGTGCTTGGCCGAGAAGAAGTACCAAATAAACAGACGCGACCAATGCGCACCGCGCAGCAGTTCTCTCCGCAGGCGGCGAGTGGCAGAGAGCAGAAAGCCGAGAGGACTTTTCTTTCACTGCTTCATGCTTGCTCGCGCCGTGGCCCGATTTATCTTGGCCTCTTCGCTCACTTCCCGCCTTTCCTTCCCACTTTTTTTTCTTTTCCGAGGCAATTTGGATCTTGTTTTATCACCGGGGTGTGGCGCCACTCACAGGGCCCTCAAGCTGCCTACGCAAAGCGCGTTCTGTCGGCAAGCCAGATGGTGCTGTATTGCAAAGAACCCCCGTGGTGCTTATCCGCCCCCAACAATTCCTGCAGAGAACCCTGTGGGCGTTGTAGGGCGTGTTCCGAAACTCGAAAGAGCCCAATTGAGGGTTGTACGATGCACAGGTCCTGCACGACCCTCGGTCACGTTCAGATGTCTTCTATAGTGTTACAGAGAAGTTTCATGGCCAGTAGTGTTTTGAAGGACTCTCGTAGACCCATAAAAGAGAGAAATGGGGCCCCGAGCCAGCCCACTAAACAGAGCGAAACAACCCCAGAAGGTCGCTGAAAACAGGAGAAATTGGACAATTCTGAAGACATAATTCGTGATTTTCTAATCTTTGAAAACCTTGGATACTTGAAACAGTAGAAATGTGCTGCTAATCAAATAGAATAACAAACAATACTTTGCAAATTCTTCCAAGTTTTGAATAGCGGCACACCTCTAGTTGGTACATTTGTACAATATTTAGGTTGCCAAAGTACACTTACACATAAAAGTATCTCCCAATATGCTCAATATGTCTCCAAAAATAATAAAAAAAAATTAAAAAAAAAGAATGTTTTATTGTATGATCATATACTACAAATTATGAAAAATGCAATGTTGGAAGCTTTTTTAGATTGAACCACTATTAGTGACTTTAGAACACAGAGAAGTTCAGTGCCCAGAGTGTGACAATAAAACATTATTTTGGTTCAAAATTTTCCTACTACTATATCAAAAATACTGCCCCCAACATTGCATGCTTTGCACATTTAGCTACATGGTGCTAAAAAAGTTATCTTTCTGTCTGTCCTAGATGCTCAGATATCCCCCCTGAAAATTTGTAAGAAGTCCAAAATTTGTGTGTTTGAGAAAGTGTGCATCAGCTTGAGTGCAATTTCAGCCCATATAGATATTTGAATGATATTCCCGCGTGCATGATGGAGAAGGTACGCTTCTCCATTCATCTAGAAGATATGTACACTCCTACCTCTTGCGTAAAGGCTCAGGGGGCCAGAATGACATTGCCAAATCAGTGTCGTCTTAGCTCTTTTCCGAACATTCTAGGTTGAATATTTGAGATGACTAGCATAGTCGATATATTGCCGCTTCATTCGCGGTAGCCAGCTGTTACGCCGGAGTACCATCGCTTGCTGCTGCTGTCGTCACCCCCGCTGTCCTCTCTCTCCAAGTGGTCAAGGTGCCTTAGCCCACCCTTCGTCCCCCGGGAGGTCCCTCCGTCCGAATCTGGCTTTGCGCTCGTCCAACGGTTTCCCCGACTCCACTGTTTCGTGACAGGAGTCTTCCATGGTTGTACCCATCTTTAAAGCTGGTGTTGCTAGTTAATAATTACTGTCCCGTTTCATTATTGGGCACTTTCGGGGAGGCTTTCGAAATGGTTATGCATAACCACATTTTTAGGTCTCTAAGCAAAAAAATTAGTACTGCATGGTTTTCTCGAGGGAAACTTGGTAGAAACAAATTTTTGCTCTTTTCTAGATTTCTCTGTACCAATAGTCACAAACGGAGGCCATATTGATGCTGTATATTTTGAAGAGTCAAAGGCCGTGTAGATCATTCTTTTTTGCAAGCTGTCTTTGTATGGCCCTAGGCTCGTGAATGGTCCAGGAGCTATTTGAGTTTACGCAGTAACACTGTTCCTGTTGCAAACTCATTTTCAAAGCGTTTTATATTGACTTCGGATCTTCCCCAGGGGTCAAACCTTGGACCACTGTTGTTTATTTTGTTTCTAAACGATATAGTTTCACGCATCATGCATTCGAATGTTCTGTTTTGCTGGTGACATCAAACTTTTTTTAAATTTCGAGAGCTATGCTGACTATATTTTTATTGCAAACTGATATTCGTGTGATTTTCGAGTGGTGTGCTAAAATCGCTTTATCGCTAAATCCAGGGAAAACTAAATTGATTTCTTTATCGAGAAAACTATGTTTTCTTGTTTTCTTACGTGCTTGAGGGTATTGCAACATACAGTAAAACCTCGTTATAACAAAATGTGATATAACAAACTAATGGATATAACAAAGCAATCATAATTCCCCTTGCTTGCTAATAGTGGGAAGAAATGGACATTGCCTATAACAAACTAATGGTTACAATGAAATAATTACGACCGCTCCTTCAACTTTGTTATAACGAGGTTTTACTGTACTGTTTATCTCTTCAGCGATGAGAAAGTGGGGAATGAGCACTCGTTCATCGCATTCTTTCACGTCACCATTATCTGTGGTGCATCGTTTCTGCAGCCTCCTACACACTGGGCTCGAATTGGCTTCAGTTATTTGCAACTCACTATCTTTAACCCAAAAAGGATTGAAAATGTGTACGAGAAATTTATTTGAATTATTTACGACTGATACATTGATCGAAAATTGTTTTTTAGTTAGCATTCTTTGCTATCATTATTTAGTGAAAGGCTTTTAATGAGGAGGCCAATCAAACATATTCACTTTCTTTATACGGTACTATTAAATCTGAGAGTTCACTCGTTACTGTAGACTTTCATGAGAGCTACCCCCCGAAAAAGTGTGAATTGTTACCATTATCTCGAATGCAGTCTGCTTTTAATAACATAGGCAATTGTGAATTCTATCATTTCCTTGGTTTTGGTAAATTTAAGCCAGCCTCGCTAAAGGGCATTTGATCTGACTCGGAGTTTGTGTAGAAATCACTGGGAGAGCGCAGGCAACCTGGCGTATATTTACCATTGTGATGGCTCACCCGAGACTGGGGCAAGAAAACTAGAAACCTCAACTGTGGAAGAGACAATAAAAGGGGAGGACACAGTCTCAAAGGGACTCTCAATTGAGACTTTCTCCTCCTCCTTTTCTGCCTCTTCCACGGTTGATGTTTCTAATTTTCTCGCCCCAGTCTCAGGCTTCAAAATGGTTTGTGTACAAGTTGTATCAGCTTCTCAAACCTGTATTTGTGTCTTTTCCCATGTTTCTGTACATTTTAGATTGTGTTGCTGTAAACACAAACTAGCAGTGCACCACACAAAAAAGACTCTGTAGCTGTTTGTGGGCACTGAGGAAAAATAAAGCATTATTGATATTGGTATTTATTTTAACTCAGGAGAGCTTTATGTGGAGCGCAAGTTTGTCTGCTCCTTGCACATGGGCTGCGATGATGTCCGAATGCCGAGCTCTTATTGGCTAATTGAAAAAAATAGTGGGTAGACGTCGAGGCATCTACCCACTATCCTTCAGTCAGAGCCAATCAGACCTCGGTGTTGTTCTGATGTTACCGCAACCCTTGCACAAGAAACAGACAACTTACTCTTTGCTTTATTATTATTATTATAATTTGCCCGAGGGAAATTTATCTACATAACCAAATTACAGTCAGTGCACAGGAAGTTTACCATGACGATTATAATCCGATGCTGGGGTAGGAAGAAATTATTTTTAACATTTGAAGACAAAGTAACAGGAACAGGCAGCATCTCTAACTTGGCTAATAATTTTATTCAACTAACCTCCTTATATAGACAGCTACAACCGCCACAAAACCACCAGGCAACCTGTTTTTCAAGGATGTGCGGACAACCTTCACCCACAACACAAAACAAAGTGATACCAGCTACAAAGCACAAGCACCTTTCGATACAGACAGAAAACTTTCTAGAGGTGATAAAAAATATAGGATCTTTTTGAACTATGACATACACATACAGTGATAACTTTAGTTGGTTTAGGTGTTCAGAAGAAGCTTTTTGCCCAAACCAACTGAATTTATCCCTGTGTGTATTTATGTTGTAGTTTAAAATTATTGTATATTTTTGTAACCTCTAGCTGCCTAGAAGGTTTTTGTCTATACTGTAAGCTGGTTGCGCCTTGAAGGGGGCATCACTTAGTTTGTTTTGTTTTGGTGCTGAGGGTTGCGCGCGACCTTCGAAAACAGGTTGTTCGGTGGTTTTGTGGTGGTTGTAGTTCTGTATAGAGGAAGGTTGGTTGAATAAAATTATTAGCAGAGTTAGAGATGCTGTCCGTTCCTGTTACTTTGTCTTCAAATGTTAAAAATGATTTCCTCCTTCTACCCCACTCTCGGGCTAAGATCATCATGGTTATCTACATACTTGGAGTCTGTTAATAAGGAAATTGACAAAAAAGACATTGAGTTGAAGTTGATTATTGCGCACGCAGATACGAAGCGTATGCTTTGCATCCCGAGTTTGTGAACCTCTGTCGAGGATTCTATCAGAATTGAGGATGGGTCGTAAGAGGTGAAGAGTTTGATCTTTGCCCAGGCTGTGGCGAGGGCCATTGGACTGCCACTGGACCTGGTCTGCTACTTCGCCCTGTTCCTGGTGAAGAAGGGGGACACGGATATCACCAGTAGGTTCTCCCCTTGGAGCAGTGCTTGGGCTTTGGCCATCCTCCTTCGTTGTCAGTTGCATGTGCCATCACTCTGTCAACTGTGTACTGGAGTGTACGCAGACTGTACTCTGTTTGAGGCGTAGATTCCTCGCTGACCATGTGTGCTCGTGCGGTGCAGGCGTCGTTCGAGGCAACATGCACGGAAACAAATGCCATCCGCTTCCACCGGCACCCTCGAGAATTGCAGGGTGTGGTTGAGAATCATTTTTCTTCCGAGTTTGGGAAAATAATTGGTTGCTAGGATACTAGTGGACGTCCGATGACTCGGTGATTTAAGGTTCCCGCTCTCTTAGGAATCTTTCCGGTGCCTTCAAATCCAGTGACGAGATGCAAACGACTGTCCTTGGCGGAGCTAAGGAACTGCCGCTCCCCGAATTTCCCTTTAGGCACTGCGATACAGTAGAACCTGGATACGCTCAAAGGGAATCGTCGTATATTTATATATGTACTGGTAATTTGAAAGGCAAAAATAAGATAACTTAAAAAAAAAACACTGGCACCCCCAAATAAAGTTGTTTTATTTTTTGCCAGGCATTTTAATATGGTGTCAGAAAGTTTCTCAATGGATATTTTGCTACAGAGTAACGTATATTTTTAATAAATTCCAAAAACAGCACCGCCCGAAACCGAAAGCAAAGTGCGAGCACGGGGTTAATGGCCGTAATATGGGACTAGGGAGGAGGGAGAAACGTAGAGGAGAGAGTTGCCGGAAATCATGTTGCTACACCCGACCACTTTTCTTTTTCTTTCTTTGTTTTTCTGGTTGTACTAAGTGAAGGAAAAACGCGTAAATGTTGAGCACTCTGTGCTCGACGTTTGCACATTTTTTAAGCTCTTATGAATTTGTATTTGTAAGACAAGCAATGTCTTCTGCCAGGAGAAGGGGCAACGACTCAGTGACGTCTTCGTGCGAATCAGCTTGGTGGTCGGGCGTGTCGTACGGAATAAATCCTAATTGTTTCGATCGTTAAACAATTCCCTTTCCGAAGCTAGACAGACTCACCGGTACCGCGAACGACAGTTGTGGAGTAGAGGAGCCACGCCCGTCGTCCGCCGCCATCGCTTGGTCCTCTTCGTCTGGCTGTCCAGCCTGCGACTCCCGCGACACGACACCATGTTGAGAAGTATGCAGTACATGTACTGCTGGTACTGTCTGCAACCAATGTATTTGCGGTTGCATAGAAGCCACAAAAATGGGTTTCATATTTTTAAAAATTTTTAATATGGAGTGTGTGCCTTTAATGACCCACTAATACATTTGGTACTCGTGTCTGAACGGCACGTGACCACGGGGAAGAGAGTTAGCGCAACTCAATCCGGACCATTTTCGATCGATGGTTTTTGGGAGGAAAAAAAAACAAATTTTGAGCCGCAAATTGTGTTTTGGGTAGCTGAGCTCTGCTATGTAATGTGTCAAAAAAAAAAAAAAAAAAAACCTTGGCGAGCATAGATACCCTGTCAGTGTCCCTTTAAGCACCGGTTGAAATTTCTGTGCGTGCCTGCTGACATTGAAAATTGTGACAAACGAAAGCTTACTGAAATAGGCTGTCCAAGAGCCGCTAGATCGCATCTACCTCGCTGCGCCCCGCTTTTACGCCCATGCATGTGGCAGCGACCTTGACAGCACGGGGAATGGAAAGTGGAAATAGTAAAGAACTGTTAAAAAAACTGAAAGAGTGGGATGCATAAAAACTCAACCAAAAATAGCTCTGTCTTGATTCGTAGGAAAACGTAAAGCAAGCCACCAACAAAGAGCTGGCATAAAATTTTGCACCGAAAGAAAAACTACAAAGCAAAAGCGACAAAAGAGGAAGCTGAACAAAGATAAACGAGGTGTTCAAAGTGCAACTACGCAACCACTGGAGACATATTCAACCTGCCAAATACTCTTTATTTCTTGTGGGTGGGTTGGGGAGAAGGGAAGGGGGTAGTCTAGTTGCGAGTGTTTTTTTCTCTGCTTCTTTGCGCACTGCCGGTGGCCAGACTGGTTTATCCTCGGCGTGTGCGAACCGCGCTGCGATGGCAGTGTTGGGGGAAGCCCCCTTACCAGGGTTAATGTTTCCAATGTCCCCGGTCATGAAGTACGATACAGATGCATAAGACACTTATACTTTTGCATGGGATTTCCAAGGGGATGATTTGGCTGTTCGAAATAGACAATATTTTGAAATACCTGGGTTCCATACAATCGGGCTCAACTGTAAGGTGTCGGGCCTGAAATCTCTGGTTCCTGCGCATGACTCTCATTAGGCAGTGTTCCAAAATTCGTTCTTTCTTCTCTCGGTTGCTGTAAATGACTTACTAATTTTTCCAAACTAAAAAGGATTGCAAAAAGATAGATCTCACCGATCCTATTGCGAAACTTTTTACTCGTAAAATGGAGTGTGCACCTTTATAACGAAATCCGCAGGACCGGTGAAAAATTTCGTAGTATACAGTCGAACCTCGATATAACAAACTTCAATGTAACGAAATCCTCGATTTAACGAAGTATTTTATTTTTCATAATTTCTTGCCCATAGACCCCATGTATTTTTAGTCCCTATATAACGAAGTCTATTTTGCTGCTATTTCAATATAACGAAGCGCCATTGCCATAGAAGGAAATAAATAAATTAACTCTAAAAAACAACTTCGCAAAAAAATTGTGGCTAAAAAAAAAAAAAAAAATTATGCGCAAACGCGAGCGCTTGATAGGTTACTTCACGGGGACAGGCCTTCCAACGTTCCTAGGCTGCCCGAGGATGCGGCGCCGGTAGCGCCGGCGAGGCATGCGGCAAAGCGGATTCCGCGAGGCTGGCCAGAAAATGCCGAGCAAAAAGTTAACACTGCATAACAGCATCACCACTGACATTCACTGATCATCATAGTCCACTGTATCGCGGGTAGCGCGGGAGCCAACTTCAGCGGGGGAGCGACGTGATGGCGCGACCGCGCGACCGCACGGGCAGTGCCATCTAGGAGAAGACCGAAAAGACAGATTATCGTCTTGCGAGCGTGATGTAAAGCAAAGGCGCAAGCACACTGTGGGCGCAAGGGGGCAAGTAAACTTAGGGAGCGGAGTCGGCGAGTATGTAGGCTCCCTAAGTAAACTGTGCGGTCAAGAGTGCTGTGTAGGTTGGAAACATTGGCACCGCCTAAACTAAACAGCTCTATTTTTCAACTGGGCGGTTCACTCACGTGCTTGCTGCCATAAGGAAACGTAAAGTTCTTTCTTTGGATGAGAAAGCAAACGTTTCGGACGCCATCCTGAAGAAACTGCCGAGATCACGAGCACTCGGGAAGTGCTCGACGCAATGGACGTACTGAGGAGGTACACGGCGTCGCATGGGCAGCAAGATGCCGTGCAAGCGCTCTGGGCGCTCGAACGCCGTCGCCGCTGACGCCGCCGACGCCGCTGCTACTGTCGGACAAGGCGCAAGCAAAACTCGCGGACTACTTTGCCTCTAAATAAATGTCATTTTCGGTGAGTTTTCATACCCGTAAAATGTTTCGGAATTTTTTTTTTCGCATGCTAAAGCCAAATTTCGATTTAGCGAAATTTCAGTGTAACGAAGTAAATTGCGAATTTTACCGACTTCGTTACATCGAGGTTCAACTGTATAGGTAAATTGATTGTAGTTGAGTGCGAAAAATCGATTACGCAAAACTGAAGTTGTACTATCGCATATGACGTATCTGCGCGACATTCGAGGTGTTTTAAGAAATAAAATGGCGCCAAATATAATAAATCAATAAAAGAAACTAGGTTTTATACATTGTCAATTGACTTCAAAGGGTGCCTAGGCCTAGTCCGCTAGCGCCTCCAAGCACTTGGGGCGAAAGCTTGCGCCGCAGAATCCAGGCACCTTCGGCTCCATTGCCACTTGTTTTTTCTAAATGAAAATTTTATTGGCGCGTGTTTGTGTACTCGCCATTGCGCAATTTATAGACACCAGACTAGCGGTAGTACCACCACTGGAAAAGTCTAAAGTTGAAACACCAGACTGCAGACTAATTTTCCGCTCTACAAACTTGCACACGACAAACCTAAGAAGACACTGAAATGAAAACAAAAAAAGTCGATCAGGAATAAACCCGACGCCGGAAGGATGCGCGCGAGCGGTGGCCATGGCGGGTTGCCGGCTGCTGGTCTTTCGGTTGTTTTCGTGCACCGAAAGCTTTCCGAAAGGAGAAGCGGCGCTACGGCAACGCCGGCTTTGTGACTCAATATGTGCACCGTAGGGTCACGAAATTGGATCAAGAATGTGGGTCAAAATTCTCCAATCACGATTATAGGTTGACCTTTAGTCAACCTATAAGAAAGGGTTGACCTATGTTCCAATAAATATGGTAAATGGGACATGTAACCAAATCTACAAACAATAATAACAAACTGACATTAACGCACAGCCGATTCGCATTTTAAAAGGGATAAGAGCTCCCGACACTTACCGTCGGCGCAGAACGACGGATGGCGCTAGCGAACCTCGCTGAATAGGGTCGAGCGACGGACGGCACTTGTCAGCCGCTTGGGAGCGACAAACTCTTGCGTGGACGTATTCGCACAACCCCGCACTCTCTCTTCATCTGTCCGGCACAAAAGGGGGGCACGTTTTTTTCTGCTCGAATTTACCGATTTTGCTCGGATTTCGGCGTTGCGGGTAGAGTCGCGTATCGTTTCCTGGACCGCATAGTATCGCTCCGAGGTGAAACAGTTTGGGACTCTGATGGAGCAAGATCGAAAATCTTGGATGTTGATGAAGACTGGTCGAACAAATGCCGGGCTTTACAAGTTCTTGTTTCATGGAATATAGCAGCGAACCCCTCGGTTACTCGACCGCAAAACACGATAATCTCTGCCAGGGCAAGGTGGGTACGAAATTATTTTCTGCTGGGTGCCACGTTAGCGTTCCTGGGAATAGGGAGGCAGGCGAGGCGCCCTGCTGTCGCACACTTTGTGGACCCGTGAGAAATCCCCCCAAAAGATGAGACAGGGAAAGGTTCCGTAATGCAGAAATGGCAACACGAGTAGCATGGAGAAGCTTGAAGCGCATAAATAGGGAGAGTTCTGTCTTAGGATTGGTCATAATGTGTCCTATTTTGCGCATCCAAGATGGAGTGTGAGCATCGCCATAGCCATCTAACCGTACATCATATTTTATTTAAATGTAAGAAACAACGCCATAACCCATTCTCGCAGCCATAAAAGTAGTGTTCAGGCGAGAGGACGTCGCACATTGTAAAGCTTGCAGGTCGGGCGGGCAATTTAAGAAACCAAACTCGTCGCACATTTTATTTCTATTCGCGAGAGTGAGCTTCTCCAGCATTCCTTTCACTCCTTCAAAGTCCACTGCCCGAACCATAATGTCCGTCAACACGTTTTCAGTGTGGCCAGTTGTAGAGCCTTTCAGTTTCAATAAAAAAAAAGGTGAGAGCCAAATTTGGGTCAAATACCGTTGCAAAAACAGTTGCTCGGACTCGTAATTGGGGTCACCATTGGGGCTGTGCGTGTCGATGCATCGAAGCAGTGCGCGACCGTCGGAGAAGACTGCGGCCGTGTTCCAAAATTTACTCTATCTCATTCCAGGGTAAGGGTTTTGTACCTTAGCGTCCCAAAACCTGCCCGCGTCCAGTGCTTTTTAGTCTGTGTTGTGACGTGACGCGACCTGCCAGAGTAACTCGGATTCATTTGGTTAAGATTTGCAACACAGCCTGCACGTGTCTGAAGCGGTTGTCTGTCCCACCGCAGTCCTGAGGCGCCTGGAGAACTTTGAGGCCCCGCACCTGTCCCTGGCGTCTGCGGGCCCCGGCCACTGCGTGGTCGTCCGGAAGAGGTAGGCCCATCCTTAAGGCTCCCTTCATTTACGCTCGACGACGTCCCTCTCGGCTGCGGGTCACTCTCTGGCTCCGCCCCGGTGAGACTCTCCTTGGCTCGTATTTCTCGCCGGGACTTTGTCGCTAACAGTGAGTCCTAGTTCACGCTTGCGCAACATCATTTGCGCAAGCGTTTCTGGTGTACGGGTGGAACGCAGCGGTCCGAGACGGGTTCCGCACCCTGGCCGAGTGAAGTTCCTAGATTGCCCCGCCCTCTGGTGGTCGCGTTGCAGCCTTAGAAAAGCACCTCCGGGAGGACCTCCGACTCGACCAAAGTGGAAAATTACATCGAGATAAGCTCGGGTTTAAAGAGAAGAAAGGCTCGACGAGCATCTTTTTCTCGTTGTTTGTACTCGCTCGCACCCGAGGTTTGATTTTGGTCCGTTTTCGCCTCTGCGATTGGGCGTTTTTATGGACAAAATGCGCCGAGAAACGGGGGGAGGAGAGGAGAGGCTCCGGTTGGAACGGTTAATGGGAAGGCCTAAAGCCTTTGTCCCCGCTGCGCTCGTCAGATGTGTTGGAATGCGAGAGCCAAGCGCCGGCATTTCGCGTTTTAATGCGTTCGGCCAATGGAGACAATCGTTGCAGCCGGAGCTTTCAACGTCCCCTCTGGTGTCCTTCTCTCCCTCTCGGAGCATACCTAGCTTGGGGGACGCTTGCATTGTTTTCATTCTGTCCTATATATTGCCAGGGTGATAAGGATATATATCGGCGGTCTCAGACTCGTTTGAGTGTGGGGGCCAGATAGCCCACGCCTGAAAGGTAGAGGTTCGCAAGATTTAAAAGAGATCTTGCCCTCCGTGCTTTTGGAAACTGACAGTTTTGCCAGTAGCACCCTTAGATTTGATTAGTTTACATTAGGGGTGTGCGAATACTCGAATATACGAATTCGAATCGAATAGAAAGTTCCCGAATAATTCGATTCGCGAATCGAATTCCTAGTATTCGGTCACTCGAATATTCGATATATTCGGCCAAAGACGCGTGGTCGCCGCGGAGCTGACAAAAAAAGCCATTTTTCCCCCCGATGTAAGCGCCGTGTTGTTAGACAAACCATGCGAAAAACAGCTCTTGGTCCTACCATTTCACAAAAATCTAACGCACAGGTTAGTAAAAAGAAAAGTAACGAACGCCACGAACTTTATAGTACGCAGATTTACTATTTACTCACGATCGTGATACAACCTACCCTTGAATCACAACCGAAACATCCCGTTTGCGCCGCTTCCAGAGAGGAATTGTTGGGAGGCCGAAATCCCGCGCCATGCCTAATTCTTTTCACGAGTAAAGCCCCTCGTTTCAAATTGAAGCACCGATGTAAAACACACTTGCCGCACTCACAGAAATCGGCGACTGCACGATCACAGAAAGAAACCCACGTTAAACACGCCGATAAAACCAGCCGAGTTATCGTCGTCGTTCTTTTGGAACCTCAAGCCACAAATTCTGATTCGGAACGAAACGGAACGGGAAAATAGTGTGCCTAGATTTGAGAGGGTTTCCAACCGTTCGATAGCCGCGTTTGAATTACGAACTGCGAGAAGGTGACGAAAAAACGAAAGCGTCGATCGGGATCGGGCAGGCAGACACGGCAGGGAGAGTAGGCGTCGTTGCCCTTCTGTTTGCTCGCCTTTTTCCTCGCGACAACACAACACATGCGCACTTACGACCTATCTGCACTGGAGCCGTCTCCGTGGTTTCAGTTTTGCTTGCTCCCTCTTTTAAATCAAGGCTCTCTAAAACAGGATAGAGAGACGGAAAAATGGATGCATAGCGGCAGTTGGACGGTTTCTTGCGCCACCTAACCACGTTTTTTTTTTCTTACTTCAGATTATATTGTTTAAGCCTGTTTACTAAGATTTAACACCTATCTGTTTATTTACGTGAAATAACATCCCGGGTGCCCTTTTTCTTCCTTAAAATGAAAACCAAATATCGCAAAATGCCCTTTTTCTGAGATATGCAAACATTTATAAAAAAAAAAGTCGCGGTGTTAGGTTGGGCTTAAAAAAAGCATGCGTGGCTGTAAGATTATATTTGTGCCATAAAATTGGATCTTTAGTGCCCAACATCCAACAGCAACTGCTTTTATTAATTTTTTTTTTTTCACCAGAATTTTTTTTTACATTTTAGCTTTTGTTCTGCACAAGATGCATATTCTGCAACAGGTGCATACTCTGGACATATAATAATCTCATTCGCAGCACACTTTGAAGAATTCCTACAAATAAAATCACTATTCGATATTCGATTCAATATTCGGCTTTTTTTTCTTGATTCGATTCGGTATTCGATTCGAAGACTACTATTCGGTATTCGCACACCCCTAGTTTACATGACTACTTTAGGCCCTGACCCGATGTGATAAGGAGAATGGAGACGCCATTGCCCTGCCAGTCCGCTGGCTTTTTTTCATAGAACAAGGAAGGAAGTCCACCATTGTTCCCGTTGCTCAGTTCACCAGGGGATCAACCGAGCTCAATGTGTTGCTAGAAAAACAAACGGCTAATTTAACGGTTCTTTTTTTCTCGACTATTTTTATCGCGACACTCCGAACAAGTACTCGTCTTTTAATGGTGGTCTTTTTTTAAAGGCGAGAATCCCGAGGTCATTGCTTTGTCTTGGGTAGTTGGTCTAGCTCGTCGAGAGTTTGCGCAGCCGAGATGTATTTTTTGACAAGGTGCTCGCAGACTAGCAGGAGTCGTTGCACATTACGAGCTGGAAAGCTAAAAATAAATCGGAAAAAAAAAAAAGAAACGCAAATGCACGCAAACAAGTATAAACTATGCGAATAGGTTAAAAGAGCGGAACTAATTTTGGAGCGAAAATGGTTGGGCGAGATGAGATGGTGCGTGCCATTCTAGCGCTCGAGGTATCTGAGCCGGGACTCTTAGCCTTGTAGGCTGTGTGTTTGAGACGCCCGACATATTTATTTGACATATATATTTGACGGTGAAACGTAGACAGAACGGGAAAGATGACCGGCACGAGTACAACCCAACTGCCCGCAACGGGAGAGCGTTGCCTCTTGTCTTGTTTTCACCGAGCCGTCTGTCGTCGTCTCCAGGAGTTTACGTTTCAAACTGGTGCGCAATTCTTTCTCGGTGTTGTACGATTCAGCACGGTCAAAATGAAATCAACGGGGAATAGGAAATATACCGTAATATCCCGAGTCATCGCCCATCCCTGAGCCATCGGCCACCCCATTTTTTGGGCCAATATCGATTTCCGAAAAAACACCGAGTCATCGCCCACCCCTTCAAATACCCCAGCGCGGACTCTGCGATCCGCGAACACTCATCCTACCCGAATGACATGGCCGCGGACCTTACAGTTGGAGGACGTCCGTGGCAAAGTAAAACGAAGGAGGGAAAGACACTTCTTTTTGCTTGGCAGAAGAGCGTGTTGGTTTAAGTTGTTTAAGTTAAAGGGAAGCTACGGAGCTTCTCGGAAAAAATGAGTTACAAGTGAATTCTAGTGTATTTTTACCCCGTGAACCAGAATACCCAAACCATTTTCTGCGTAAGTATTGTTAAACGCGAGAAAAACGCGAAAGACAGTCGCTGTCCGTGACGTCATCGACGGCTCTTTTGGCTGCCCAAGGCTAGGGAGGCGGGGCTTCAGCCCTATTTTGAAATTGCTCGTATGGCTCTCCGGCACGTCGCATTGAAATACATTTTTGATATCTGTTAATCTAAAGGCCAAATGAACGCGATTCAAGCGTTTTTTCTCAAATGTAGAAGTGCCCCATCTTCCCTTTAAGTGGTTTAAGATGTGGTTGTGTTGTCCCTGTTTTAATTGTTTATTCTTTCTTCATCCATGACTTCTTTTTGTTTACGCATTTCCTCCGTGAGCGACCCCAAAGTGGTCGTGTATCCGTGCGAAAAGAAAACGATGGAGATAACAAAATAGGAGTTTGTTAACGTAACCGCGGAGTGTTAGGTCAAAGTCTGTCTCCGCCGAAGTAAGGTCACCGCAAACCCGCTCCTTCTTCCCGCCCGTCGCGACCGCGGTTGTGCAATATTTTAGGCAAAGCCAAAGCATAAATAAAGCTTTGCTGGAACGTCCTACACAGACGTTTGCAGAGCGTACGTCCCAACCGTGCATTGATAGCCCGCCGTGCACGGGCGCACGTATGTACGCACCAAACAAGAAAGTTGCGCAAGAGCTTGCGATTGACAAGGCGCCCGACTTGGCCCGACGCCAAAGTATTTGCCAACGCGACCGCCGGCTTTCCCGCTTTCCCAGCATTGCTCTTGGTCGCTTCTTTGGTCCGCTCGCTCGCTCGTTGCGCCTGGTCGGTTTTTCTATTTTCTTGTAGACTTTTCTTTTTTTTTACTAACCAGGAGAACATAATGGTGACATTCTTTCACGGAACAAACGTTCGTGCTATATGCAGATCAGCGGTGTTCCTAGCGCGTATGCAAGCAACGGACTTCGCTATAGTAAAATATTCTTTCGTGAGCATTTTTTTCTATAAAACAATGAAACTAAATCGAGTTTTGAGTTTGATGTATCTCTTGTGCATCAGCGCTAGATACGCAAAGAAAAATAGGCGTTTTTTTCCCGTTTTTTTTTTAAGTGGTTGTGCTCACCCACCGAGACATGGCCCACCCCACTTTTTTAACGAATTTCAGGCGGGTGGGGGGTGGGCGATGACTCGGGATATTACGGTATTTTATACCTCCATAATTCGTTATATGTAGCACTCGATGATCATGCGGCGTACAATATTGGCTTTCGTAAGACCTACTGTTCTATTTGTCTCCGTTTTTAGTGCAGAGAAGCTACAACACAGCCGCGCATCTCTTGACCGAAATAGCCGACGCTCGCTTTAATTATCCGAAAAGGTGCCTCTCCCTCGGATGGTTTGCGCCGCGAAAGAGCGGAATGACAAGGAGGATGACCGTCCTTGTTGGCATAGTGTCACTTGGTCACGCACTTTGGCGGCAGTTGCACCCCTGCGGCTGCCAGAGTGTCTACCGCATGTATGCTAACGCTTCGATCCCACTTTGAACGGTCCGCAAAAATAGGTTTCTCAGCGTATCGCCCTGGGATTTACTACCTGGTGTCCGAAGGTGGTGCATTCATTAATTCCGACTATGAGTGCATGAAACCTCCGCAGCCAAAAAAAGAAAAAGAAATATGCGTGAAACCTTCGCAGCATTTTTTGAGGGTTCCTGGGGTTCTGTGAGACCAAAAAGTTTGAGAATCCCTGTTCTAGATGAACGGATCTTCTCGATCAGGCACGGGCCAATATACCCTAAGGCTGCTGGGTGGCTTCCCGAGGGGCACCGCAACGCGGTCGTCCAGAGCGTCGCGTGTAGAAGCTGGGCCCCACCAGAGTGCATGGAGCGCGTCTTGGACCGGTCTGTTGCGCATCCTCCTCCCTCACGCGACGAAAGCCATCGCCAGGTGGCGGCAAGTGACGTCCCAAAAGTTGGTCGTTGCGACCCTGGCGCTCGGTCGTAGATGTTGCGGCAAACGGCACGAGCGAACGCGAGGGTCGCCAGGGCGTCCCGACACCCGGCCGCCGAAGCTTTTGCGGACCATGGAGCTGGAGAGCGACTTGGAGGAGAATGGGCGTGTGCCACGTCCGCCGCCACGACGCCACCAGGGTTATGGCTGGTGACGGAACGACGCATTTGCAACGAGGTCGAGTGTAAATCGAGAGTCCGATGCCCGAAACTCCGACCCGCGCGCTTGCCGCATCCGAAAAAAAAATGTTTTGGATGAGGGTGAACACGCCGGTCGGAATTTCGAGCGTCGGACAGTTTATAAAGACGTTGTGCCACAAAGATGCCCGCCAGTCTTACTTTATTGATTTAAAATGCCCTCGGGGGCCAGGGCGCGTTAGAGAGGGGAATGGTTACGACGACTTTATTTAAAAAAATAGCAGAGTGGAGATATAGGAGATACGATGGTTAGAAAGGCTCCTACTTTATGACGTTAGCTAATGCATTCTTGAAATGTCGATGATCTTCAATGGTTGCTGTTGATCCAGAAACGGGATTCCACTCTTCGGGTGTGCGTGGTACGAAAAACCGAAAGAAAGCGTTACATCCGGAGAATGGAACACCGACCTTACGAGCACCATCTAATCAACATGAAATGTGTCGAGGAGGAAAAATAAGTTTGTCGCCAAGGTACGGGTGGCGATGTAGCTCGTGAAAAGGACCGAGACAAAACTTTTTGTAGCGAAATGCTGAAGATTGTAGATCGAGACTGAATTTCGCGGTGCTTACGCTGGCTGCTCTATTATAATTAGAGAGTATAAAAGGAAGGGAGTTATTTTTACCCCTTTCTAGCTAGTAAATTAAGTTTTCATGGCCAGGATTCCAAACTGATGCAGCATATTCAAGTTTTGGGGCGAATTAGCGTTCTATACATTCTTAGTTTGAGAGAGGAATACACCTTTGAAAAGTTACATCTCAAATATCCCACTGTTTCTGTTAACGTCGTTAGTTTGGTATGCAGCTTGAATGTTCCGAGTGAGTTTAGTAAAAATGTGAACACTTGTAATGAAGTGTGGCATGTCAGGGTTTTAAGATAGTAAAGTGGGAGTTATTGCGGAAAGGGGGCAGAACTTTCCATTTGTAGAGCAAGTTCCCTGGTGCAGCTACTGGGACAGTGGCTGGGACCGGGCGCTGCTGGACGACCGGGTGGCCCTGAACCTGGGCTACGTGCAGGCCCTGAGCGACCTGGACCGGGGCTGGGTGCTGGCCCCCAAGGAGACCCAGAGGCAGCTGGCAGCCCTACAGGCCAAGGGCTCCAAGAGGGAGGTGGGTGGCCACGGCTCTCTCTGGGTGAACAGGGGGAGGCCCTGTTTCCAAGTCTGCCCGGGCTTTTCAGCCTCAGCGTCAAGCGAACCCAATGCATCGCTGCGCCGCCCTTTTTTGGGTTATTGCCTAACCGTAACCTCAACAAATTACTTTCTGAAAGTGATTTATCTGAGACCGGTTTTAGGGCCCGAGCATTGTGAGATGTCGCAATGAAAGCGCGGTGTCTTGGCAAGACGGGACTGGAGCCACTCGCTTCGCTGGGTAATGCGGCGCCTTACCCCCGCACCGTCGGACTTTGTTTAGTAGCTTGGTACGTGTGTACGTTCAAACGCCGATATAATCTACATATGCTAGAAAGAGGACCATTTCACGAAATAGAACGCAAGTCTCGGACAATCTCCCAATCTGTTCCGCACGTTTTTATAACCGCTACGGGGCAAAATCCCGTTCAATGAATATCCCCTTTTAACGAACAATGTGACCGTCCCCACGAGACGGAATTGACTATTGTTACAAGACATTCTTTCCCCTGATTGGAAAGAATGTTTTGTTGTCTTTGGTTTTATGCGTAGCTCGGTGCATAACCCTCGACGAATTCTTGGAAGCCCGGTTCTGGAAGGGATACCCTTAGGTAGAAGCTGCCTCTGGCAAGAAGGGGGAATTGTGCCATGGCTGAGTTGGAGCCGAGGCCTCCAGATCCTTCGGGTGTGGGCGTCCTACCGGGACGTGTCGTTGTGATCTCTAACCTCGGGTGAAGATCTCCGAGGCCCGAATGGACAGAAGGTGAACGACGAAGTGACGACCTCTTGCCCTCGTGATGCTGCCTTGGGGTTGTCGGCAAAAGCTCTCGCACGTTCGCATGTCCGCTCGGAGAGTAGTGGCATTGCCGAGCGGTTGAACCTTTCGGAAAATCGGATTTGCGAGGAGATACGCATTTCTTTTTCATCCCACTTGGCGCCACCCCACATCTTTGCTGCGTTGTTGAGCCTACATTCTGAACGCTTGGTGATGACACTAAAAAGAAAAGAAAGCCGTTTACAACTCCCTGTAATGCCGAATTAGAGCTCAGCTCTTGAGGAGGATGAGGGGAAGGTTGTGGGGACCCTCTCCCTGGCTCCTCCGCGCTCCGTGACCTTGCCGGTCCCCGCCGCCGTATTGTCGGGCGCTCCTTCGTTCCCTGTGACCTTCCCGTTTCCAGTCGCCGGCCTGTCGCGGAATGTCCGAGCTCTCCGGGAGGAACGGGGCAAGCGCCCCCCTCACCCAGCGCTGACGTCGGAGGATCGGCTCGCGGCAGGTTCCCGATTGGACGGTCGGCGGGACAAGGACTTGGGAAGGTCTTAAGAAGGGCAACGGAGACAAAGGAAGAGGGCTTGGGCTTGGGCTGCCGACTTCACAGGGGACCGGTCATGGAGGCGAGCTCGGACGGCGCTGGACGCTGGCGCAGGGAGTGCGGGCACCACGTCGAGTGGCGACTCGACAAACGGACCGGACAGCGACCCTGGACGACGATGACCCCATGACGCGGTGTGGGCGACCACCGCTGGGACTCGGAGAAGCTGCTGTGGCAGCGGACTCTCCCCCGGCCTCGCTGTTGACCGTCCCCCGATCCCGAAACCCCCCAAGGCAATGAGTGAGTGAATAAACCCTTTTGCCGAGAGCGAAGTATTCCAGTGTCATATTCATACGGGAACAGGGTCTGTGGGAATCGGAGCTAGAAGATGCCCGCATAAACTGGCGCCGCAACGTGGGGCCTGATTTTTGATCAGGCAGGCATTTCGATTCCCAACCTGTTTCCGGTTGAATTGGGGCACTGTTTCGCGCTCTTTTTGGGGGTCATCTTTGTCGCGGGAGCGCCGCACGAAGTTTCGTTGCGGGAGCGCCGCACGGAGGCCCTGACATGATCGCCTGCCTGACGAGGAGGCGCGGATCTTGACCGTTGTCTTTAGGGATTAACCCTTTTTCGCAGAATGTCCGGAATTCACTTATCCCCCGTTACGAGAAGCGCCTTGAGTGTTTGCTGTTCAGCGCACCGTTCGCTGCTGGCAGGTTGATCCTGCTACGCAAGAGCGCTGTGTGCGTCGAAATTACCGCACCCCTCGAGGCATGTAGCGTCGGGCGTCACCCCACCTACGCCTCCGGCCGTCCACGTCTGCTAGGAAAGATGCCAGCTCACGCTTTGGGGGATGTGACGCGCCTAACCGCCTTTGCTCGCGTATCGATGTAATGTTTTGGAACATTTGTTACCGATCGGACGCGTTAGAGAGGCATCGCTCCGGGTGGAGAACGCACCCATTGCGGATGGCGGTTGCATGGACTGTGTTTGGAAATTATTCCCGCATTGCATTTTGTCCGGGAGGAGACTAGCGTCTCGGTTTGATCGCATGCTAGCTCCCAGTTGGCCTTGCTTGAGCTGTCGGCGCGGTTTTGAGCGTCGTTGACAGCGTTTTAAGGTACGGATGCGCTCTTGTGGTTCCGACCAAGATCGCTTTGAACGAGTACCTTGTGGCCAAAGGCTACATTTAGGGGCTGAGCCCACTAAATCGTGCCGGGTACGCGATGTCCGGTGCGTGGGCATCGGAATCCCGAAAGCCACAGAGTTTCCGTGTTCACTTATCAGTGGCTGTGCGTGTGTAATGCTCCGTGGAGTCCAGTCTGACGCGATGGGGATGACCCGTGCGTTTCTGGTTGTAGAGTCGTGAGGTTGATTCTGTTTAATTGTGCGCACAGTTGGTTCCGGATCCTCACACCGCCATATCGATGGTTGAGCCTCGAGGCGGGAGTTACTCTTTATTTCGTTTTCTCCGGGTCCGGAGAAGCGGCGGCCAGCGCGCGCTTTGCGCTGCCGCCGGATACGGTTCTCAGCCGTGCTTTGGTTCGCGTTGGGACGCGAAGGCGTAGAGAGCGTAATTGGTCGTGCAGAGACCTGGGCTGGAGTGAAATTATAAATTTAGGGGAGAAAAGACAGCTAGGTGAGGAAAGAGCTGGGCTCGTGCAGTCAAAACCTGCACGAGGGGAGTGGCGGTCTTGCGATGATGTGACGAGTTGTTCATAGTTTTATCCTGTACAGATGCGCGGTTGGCCCGGGAAAACGTACGGTTCACGTCGGCGGGTACGTGCCCGGGAAGCCTAGAAATTATGGCAGCGGCATGGCCGTCGGCGGCCTATAACTGTTGTGCGTTGGGTCAGCCCGTCGCTGTACAAACTGCAGCCTTTGCATGAATGGGTAGCGGGTGTTGGAATGCGGCGGTAAATGCTGTAGACACTTCGACGCTGCGGAAACTGTTTATGCAGAGCAAATATAGTTTATTAGCTCGTCCATCTCCAAGACTGGCCGGTTAGATTATTTGGCATTTTGGTATCGCGCTCGTTGCGCGGAAGTTGAGAGGTGCGTGTGTGGGATACTTACATTGTTCGAACCCTGCCTGTCTGTACAGTCGCAGGAAGACTTTTCAGTCATGCGGCGTGTTGACTTGGCTGGGGGCGAGCTTTGTGCGTAGCCTACTGCGTTTGTATGTGGTCACGTTGCTCGATTCGAGAACGTCGAAAAGTCGCGAGACGCGTTGACGGCGTACCTTTATTGCTCGATCCCGGCCGGCCTTGACATCAGCTGGAAGACTTTTTAGTTATGCGGTGTCGGGGTTTGGTCGGGGGAGAACTCTAACGTGCGTCGATGCGCTTATCGCGGTTGTCGAGCCCGTGCGGCGTTCGGTGCGGACCGCCGTTACGCGCTCGTCGCTCCTGTTGGGTGGTCGCCTCCGAGCAGTGAAGCGGTAACGTCTGGTACATGCCCAAACGTTACGGACATAGCTTTGTAAATAGGCTGTCCAATGAGATCTGCTGTTCGCACGATCCAGGTACTGTTCCCTTTGTACTGGTGTAAGTGGCCGGTACCACGGAACAACGGCCTCTCAGTAAGGTGATTACCCCTTCTGATGAAGGCGTGCTGCGTAGCTTGGCTGTAGCGTGTTTGTAGCTCGGATAGCGTGAACGCCGAGTGCATGGGTGCCTGTCTTGGTTAATTGCTACTGTTGACTGCGTGTTCATTTTCCGTAGATATTTCGAGTCGCACCTCGCGAACGGGGCAGGATTTGTGGCCGTTTCTGTTTTACGGGAGGTTGTTGTTCGTTTTTGAAGCTCTATGCGTTTCTCGAGCTTGTGTTAGAGATTAACATTGTTGTCAGAAGTGTGCGGTTGTGACGCTCTGGTAGATTGTTTTCTGTTTTAAAAGATGCGGTTGAGTTTGATAGGAGCAAATGTTGTATAGTGGGCGTATGTACGATTTAAGTATGCATTGAGTGCTCATACTTTTTGGTTAAGGAATGGTTTTCCACTTAAGTACCTCATGAACGCGCAGCGTGATGTTCTTGATGATTGCCTGCCTGCTAGTATTGAAATGAAGAGTTTCGTTTTTATTTCGTGGCATGTCCAACGATCGAAAGATTTTGGTTTCGTCTCGCTGTCTGATATAGGGTGCCGGTATTCGTTTTTGCGCGATTCGCTGTCTGCTACATTAGGGACGGAAGTGAACTTTAAGTGCCGGCGTGTTGTGTGTGCCTGAGTGCCCGTCCGTGTTGTGAGCTGTGGTGCTCCGGACCAGCTCGTGGACCGTGTTCCGTCGGTCACGAGCTTCCCAGTGAATGGACGTTCACCGCTGACCTGCTTGGTTTGATGCCATCATCATCATCGAGGGTGCTCGTCGTCATCGGCGACACTCAGCTGAACGAGCTCCCTGCCCAGGGTCCTGGGGACCACGCAACCTCAAGCCCCCCAGGGTCCGAGCCTTGAGGGAGGGGAGGTGTGGGGACCCTCTCCCTGGCTCCTCCGCGCTCCGTGACCTTGCCGGTCCCCGCCGCCGTATTGTCGGGCGCTCCTTCGTTCCCTGTGACCTTCCCGTTTCCAGTCGCCAACCTGTCGCGGAATGTCCGAGCTCTCCGGGAGGAACGGGGCAAGCGCCCCCCTCACCCAGCGCTGACGTCGGAGGATCGGCTCGCGGCAGGTTC